ACACGCTGGGCCTGAGCGACTGACTTGAAGTGCTCCCTGCCCCACCCCCTAACACACCGAATAAAAGCTTCCCTCTACTAACCCCACAGAGAGCCATCTGTCCCCTTACTTGTAAGAAGTAATAAAGTCCTTTGTTTTCAACAGTTCCTTGAGTTGTGTTCAACTTGATGCATCTCAAGTGGCAAACCCCTTGAGTTTGGTTACACGGACACTGTCATATTGGTAAATAACATTTCCATGCATCTGGCTGGTCAAACCAGAAACATTTCTTTCCATCATCCATCATATCCAATCTCTCATTAAATTCTACTCCTTGTACAAAACAAAACAAACCAAAAAAACCCCTAACTCGTGGGGCGCCTGGGTGGCTCAGTTGGTGAAGTGATTGCCTTTAGCTCAGGTCATGAACCCAGGGTCCTGGGATGGAGCCCCACATCTGGCTCCTTGCTCAGCAGGGAGCCTGCTTCTCTCTCTCCTTCTACCTGCTACTCCACCTGCTTCTGCTCTCTCTGTCAAATAAATTAAAATTCTTTAAAAAATAAATAAATAAATAAATAAATGAAACCTAACTCATCCCCTTCTTTCCATAACCATTGCCCCCACTTTAGTGGTGCTTGATTCCCCTCCAGGATCATTGCAATAACATCCTTTACTGAAAACACCTCCGCTCCTGCCCTTCTAATCCTCCACAGAAGCCAGAGTGATCTACTGAAAAGGTAAATCTGATCATGGCATTCTGTGCTTAAAAACATCCAATGGTTCCCAATACACTTAAAATGAAATCCAAAGTCCCGTCTTATTAGGGGTGCTTGGGTGGCTCGGTTGGATAGGCAGACAGTTAAGCATCTGCCTTCAGCTCAGGTCATGATCCCAGGGTCTTGGGATGGAGCCCTGGATTGGATCAAGCCCTGCCTCCATGGCCGGGCTCCCTACTCAACTCCATGCTTAGGGGGTGTCTGCTTCTCTTTCTTCCTCTGTCCCTCCCCCTCTCTCTCACTCTTTCTCAAATAAATATATAAAATCTTTTTTTAAAAAAAAAGGAAGTTACCTTAGTATAACTTCCTCTATGATTTGCCTCACTGCTTCTCCCTCACCTCATTTGTCATCACACCATTTAATCACTACACACTAATCACCAATTAATCACTAGCCACACTGGCCTTATTTTTGTTCCTCCAATCAGCTAAGCTCTTCCTTATCTCAGGACCTGCAGATATGCTTGCAGATACTTGGGATAACTGTTTACTTCCATTCACTCTTTACCTGGCTAACTCCCATTCCATTTTTCTTCATATGTCCATCAAGATTCCACATTTGTTTTCTCTACCTGACAGGCACATTACTGATGCTCAATAAATAACTAATCACTTCATATTCAATTATCCAGCCAGTACTAGCCAAAAACAAAACAAACAAAAAACCAAGAGAGTGGGGTTACACAAAGGAACGTAATTATACGTTCTTGAAACTTAAAAGTGTTAAAATTATTTTAAAATCTAAATATGTCCAAAACCTGTTTATTTGCAAAACTGAGAACTCCAAAAACAAAACAAAACAAAACACACACACACAAAAAAAACTATCAAAATGTTGCCATCCAAAAGAGATGATTAAATGAACCAAGGACAAAACATTGTCACAAGTGATTACTCCTGAAAGAAGATAATTAAGAACCCTGGGAATCTTTTTTTTTCTGCCCTATCTTTTGCTTTATGAAAAAAATGGGACAGGGGCTAAACAACAATAGTAACGCAAGCAGTCAAGAACTTAAAAATGTATTTATCAGTCTTTTCTGGCCGAAAGAAAAAAAAAAAACAAGCAAGCAAGCAAGCATTCGTGGTACTCAAATTATTACAACACGTTTGAGTTAAATTCCATTTAAAAAGGAAAGAAAGAGGGGCGCCTGGGTGGCTCAGTGGGTTAAGCCGCTGCCTTCGGCTCAGGTCATGATCTCGGAGTCCTGGGATCGAGCCCCGCGTCGGGCTCTCTGCTCAGCTGGGAGCCTGCTTCCTCCTCTCTCTCTGCCTGCCTCTCTGCCTGCTTGTGATCTATCAAATAAATAAATAAAATCTTAAAAAAAAAAAAAAGGAAAGAAAGAATTGGGTATCGCGGTTGTTACAGTAAATCTCCGGAGAGGTGATAAGATAGAAAACATTACTTGCTCCCTTTACATCTAAGGCAAAGGCGTTTCCATCCTCACTCCGCACCCCCCACCCCAGAATGTCCGGCGCTGAACAATGCCTAACGGATTCTCTAGTAAAAATTTCACGCTATCAACTCGATCAACCAAGGTCTCCATCATATCGATCTCTGCTACAGCGCCCGCCTTCTACTCTCAGCGTAGCCGCTGATCCCGTCTCAATCCTAGGACTCGCTTTGGGTAGATCGCTTCCCTCCTAGGATCCCAAACGAGAAACAGCTTCTACAGAACGCAAACTGCAAACAGCCGCGGGCAGGAAGGGAGGAAAAAAAGGACCGATGCCAGACTCACCTGGGGCTGCACGGTACTCGACAGGGAAAACATCTCCTCCGGGCTCTCAGCTACCTCGCCAGCCTGCCGAAAGTGCCCCTCTGTCCACGGCTCGGCGGGGAGGTGCTGAGCCCTCCTTTCCTTTTCTTTCCCCCTCTCCCCTTAGCCCTTACTCTTCCTAGAAACAGAAAACAGCTTCTCCTCACAGTTGCTGCAACGACAGACAATCTGCCCCGGAAGCTAAGGTTCCAACGCACCAGTACTTCCGGGGCGGGTGGGCAATGCTCGGGGCGGGCGTCTGCTGCCTCCCTTTTCCGGGACTGACGTATCTACTGCCGCAGCGGAGGTCCCCTGGCCCCTAAACTAGCTGATGTTCACGTTGAATGATCCAGGTGCGGGATCCCCGAGCTCTCTGGCCGTATTTCTTTCTTAAGGGGCGACGGCATCGAACCTCTTCAATCTTTCTTTGTAAACCGAATTTACCAAAGCTTCCAATATATTCTCCTTTTCCGACGGGGCCGTAAGGTACGATAAACTCTTTTGCTACAGTTTGGTGCTCTTTATCTTCCCCACAATAAATCGAAAATTCTTCCTGTGGGTTCTAATCCGCTTCAGTCCGGCAAGTTACATCGTGTTTGTATGTCGGATGACAGGGCCACCGGCTGCCTGCTCATCCAGTTTCTCCACATTCTCTGATTTGCACTCGCCAGACCGAACTGGCTGACATTTCCCGCCAGGGTGCGAGGTCGCGAAGGAGTAAAAACCAAACAAAACCAGACAAAGCAAAAGTGAGAGCAGGGCAGGGTCCCGTCAACCTCGATTGGAGGTCGGGAGAAACCTCAGTTCTGCGATCGAGATTCCAGTCCGAGTAGCCCCTTTCGCTTGTAGGCCAAAGACTGTCTGTGCCTCCCCCATTATTACAAATGAAGTGATTGGGCCGCGGTCCCCGCCCTCGAAGAGTCGGCCGTTGGTTGGAGAATTTCCCAAGGTCCCCGCCTGCGCCTACAAACCAGAGAAGACGGGGGCGGGGCTGCGCTGGGGGCGGGGCTGCGCTGGGCTCCGCCCGGCGAGCGCCACAACGCGGTGGCGTCCCAGACGGCCGAGTGCGTGGGCGGGGTCTTACTTTGAACTCAGTTGGCGGGAGTTGTGGCTCCGAAAGGGGCTTTGGCTGATGCTGCAGGCTTCTATCCGGACTGGCTTACGATGGAGCCCACTGCGGGAAGCGAGAAGGAGAGTGACGGAGACGCGCTTACAGGGGAGTGCGTGAATAGGATCCCAGTGCCACGACCTCCCTCCATTGAGGAATTCACCATAGTGAAGCCCATTAGCCATGGCGCCTTTGGGAAGGTGTATCTCGGGCAGAAAGGCGGCAAGTTGTACGCAGTGAAGGTAAGAAGTGGGGGAGAAAAGAAAGGGAAAGAGTCCGGACTTTCGACCCTCTTTCCTGCCTCCGGGTTGGGCAGGCCCCAGAACCGCAGGAGCCTATAGAGCGCTGTGACATGACTTCTCACTTGGGGCGACTTGAGCGCCGGCAGGCTGGGTGTCTCGCCTCTGCCCCCCCCCCTTCCTTTCACTCCGCCAATGGCTTAGGAGAAGCCAGGATTTCTGAATCATGTTTACCATCCTGATCTTTACCGGGATTAAGTTGGAAACATTAAATTTGAAACAATTATTTAAAGACTGAAACCTGTTAGGACATCTCACTCCTTTATCCTTGCAGCAGCATATATCATTAGGAAAGCACTCAAGAGCTTTCAGTGTATTTGAGCCTCTCCTGGCCTCCCTTGGTCCTCACCCACTCCATAGTTTCGGATTACTCTCAATTTCCGCACTGAGGGAACATGAGAAAGGAAAGAAACCAGCAGTCTGAGTGCTGATGCATTTTCACCTTCCTTGCTATGTGAATATCTATCAGGTATCTTGGAATTGTCCTTGCCTGATTTTGAACAGTCCTCTCTGCCTAAGGGCTTCAACACTGAATCTTCTGTATTTCCTCTCTCCGTTTAATAAAATCACCTTCATCGCTGTCCTTCAGGCTAGAAACTTGAGTCATTTTAACTTTCTTCTACTTCATTTGTATAACCAGTGTCTCAGCTAGTCCTGTCAACTCTATCTCGTATTCCTTCTTACCATCCCTTCCATTCCATTCCGAAGACCACCCAAATACAGGACTTCATTTTTTCTTTGTTTTTGTTTTCCTCCCTCCCACTTTCCCTCCCTCATTCCTTCTTAAAAGTACAAGTCAATTTTTGGTAAATTGCACTTTGGGTAACTATCACCGCTATCCGATTTTAGAATATATCCATCACTCTAAAAAGCTCTACTGCCTGTCTTCAGTACCTCCCCCTTAACACCCCTGGCCCCAGGATACCAGCAATCTACTTTATATTTCTACAGATTTGCCTTTTCTCTACATTGCATGTAAATGGAATCCTACAACATATAGTCTTTTGCATCTGGGTTTTTTGTCTTTGTTTTTGTTTTTACCAGTGTTTTTGAGATTCATCAGACCTTCATGTACATACCTAGTCTCTTGGAGTAAACCCCTAAGTAGAATCGGTACTTTTTTCATCCACTCCTTAGGCTGTGGCTTGCAAGCTAAAGTCCAAACTTCTTAGAAAAGCAATCATAGGGCGTCTAAGTGTCTCAGTCAGTTGAGCGCTCAGGTCTTGATCCCGGAGTCCTGGGAGTCCCGGGATGGAGCAGCGTATCGCTTCGCTCCTCTTCAAACCTTACCTGACCTTTCTGACCCACTCCATTGAAATTAATTCTTCCTTGCTTCATATGTTCCACCAATTTTTTGCTTTTCTTTCTACTCTGTTTCCTAATCAGTCATTATCAGTTGTCGAAATAAAAATACCAATTCATTTTTTCGGTGAATATTTCTTGAGTATCCCCTTTGTGTGTAGGGTCTAGGGTCCAGTGTTGCACAAAAACAAACATGCCTTCACAGAGCTTCCAATCTAGTGGAATGACAGGTAAAATCATGTTACAGACTGGCTTTGTCAATTTCCCTCAGTTTTTTTATGGAAAGTATATAAGGCTGGAATTTATAGTGTATTAATTATACACATTAATATTGATTTTATTACTCTTAATGAGTCCCTGGAAGAAATATGTCTTTTAATCTTTCTGACAAGTGATCTCAATGTTACTGACTGTTCAGTTTAGTGCTCCAATCCTAGTATAGATTATATTACAGTTTTGCTTCTGTACCAGTTACCTGGCAACTTGAAAAGAGTAGTTTGTTATTTTCTGTAAGACTGCATTTGAAATTGTTAACTTTCAGTAGTTTTAACTATTAAGGTTTTTTTCCTGGGCGAACAAACTTCCAATATTCTTCCTCTTTCTGATTCATTTCCCATCCATCAAACAATCAGAAGTTAAAGAAAATTTATTAGCTCCTAATTATCTGTGCCTAGGTTCCTGATTATCTGGGGGCTTATTAGGAACATTACTACCTTTGAATTTGTTATAAGACTAGTAGGAAGGAACTATTTTTCTACAAATATGTAGGGCACTAGGGGAGCATGTGTTTACTTCTTTGTCCTTCTCAAAAGGGATGCGATGCCACTTGATGCTAAAATAAGCAGTTCTCTGAAGAAATGTTAGTTCTGTTTACCATATTAGCTCTTTTTCTGACCGGTTCCTGAGGGCAATGACAAGGACATCTATGTTCTTTCTATCTCTGATTGTTTTCACAAAGGCAACTCTGAAACCTGAGAACACTCTTGTAATAAAAAAATAAAATGAATATATTGTTATGTTGTCTACCATAGGTTGTCAAAAAAGCAGATATGGTCAACAAAAATATGACTCATCAGGTACAAGCTGAGAGGGATGCCTTAGCCCTAAGCAAAAGTCCTTTCATTGTCCATTTGTACTATTCACTACAGTCAGCAAACAATGTCTACTTGGTAAGTAATTAATGTTACATTTTTTTCGTCATTTAGCAATCACCAAATGCATTGAATTAAGAATACAGTTGAGGTGGTAGGGGTGGCACTTGGCTGGCTCAGCCAGTAGAGCATCCAACCCTTGATCTCAGGGTTGTGAATTCAAGCCCCTCATTGGGTGTAGAGAGTACTTAAAAATAATTTTTTAAAGATTATTTATTTATTTATTTCACAGAGGGGGGGGATCACAAATAGGCGAAGAGACAGGCGGGGCGGGGGGCGGGGAGCAGGCTCCCCGCTGAGCAGAGAGCCTGATGCAGGGCTCAATCCCAGGACCCTGAGATCACGACCTGAGCTGAAAGCAGAGGCTCAACCCCCTGAGCCACCCAGGCACCCCCAAAATAAATTTT